GCTGGCGGCGTAGGTAGAAAAAATGAATCGAGTTAAGGTGACTTATTATGTTTGAGCTGATTAAATGCTCTAATAGTTTCGAAGACACGCTTGTTAAAGGAATGGGGCGACAAGTATATACAAGTGATTGATCCCCACTTTTATGGAATTCTAAACGTGATTTAGATAAAGTTTGTAATTGTGATTTAAATGAGGATTTTAATTGGATTTCACTATATGTTTAGATCAGCTTCACGTTTGCTCTGCGCCCAGATTGTGCAGCACCTGTAGTATAGTAAATAATTTTATCGAAATTCTTAGTAGGGGTTCATAATTTTCTGAGGGAATTAACCTAGTATTGCTATATATGAGTTAACAAAATATACGAAGTGTTAATTTCATACATTTGTCAAACCTAACCACTTAATTGTTTGTCCGCAAAACTTTCAGGCCTTGTCTTACAAAAAAAAAAAAAAAAGACTCCAGATGGACAATTTTAGCTCATCCTTCAACTTTTAATGTTTTCAAAATAGCAGCAATTGTAAATGAAACAATTCAAACTTCTAGCCAATCTGTGATTAAGAAACAAAACAAAAACAAACTAAGATGGGGGAGCCCGCCGGTTTTCTGATAAGTCATTGGAGGCGCTTTCGCTCGGCCGTTTCGCTCCGGGCCTATTTGCATACCGTATTTGGGCGCGTGTAGTTTCGGTGTCAGCGTTTTGTGTTGATGTTGTTCCTGTGCGTGGCTTCTGTGTTTCATGCATCTGCGAATCAACGGGAACGGAAGTCGGCTCCATCGATCAAACGAACGCACCCGTTTGTTTTGCGTGACAGTCGACGAACGAGTACTCCCGGTCCGATGAACCACGATGGGGTTGACTTGGTGGCTGTGGTACGCGGGTCACATAATGCACGAAGTATCTTTTTTAGGCTTTACAAATTTTTTTTAAAGGTACACTAATGCGTATTGTGCAGGTGAGTCATATGGTCAAGGGTACATAATATAGGAGGCCAATCGTCACAAGAAGCCAGATAACTAACGAAATGTGTTTGTTAACTTTTTATTTAGTGAAAATGAACACATGGTTCCAAGTTGCAAACTTGCTGAGCGTCGTCGGAAACTATAAAATCAGTCAATTTCAGAACGATTTGGAGCGCCTGGAAGCGCGGTCGTACGCTAAAGTTGCCACATCGGCAGCAGGCGCCGGGATAGCGGCAGTGCTCGCGGTAACGTGTTACTTTTTTCGGTAACGTAGTAGCGTACTCGTTATTTTTTCGAAGACAGTAGGGAGTTTTCGCAGACCGCGTTTCCTCCTCCGCTAAGCCCTCTGCAACGAATAAGTTGCTACTGCGCCTGCGCGCCGATAGCTTTGACTGTAGAGTTTCGGGTATCGTAGCGGGTTGCGGAGGGTGTTGCGAGACGGTGAAAACGATCTACGAAAACTCCCCTAGTGACGGGTAACGTACTTACGTTACTGCTTACTTCTTCCCAAAACTTAAAACAATTACACTGGGCTTTTTTTTTGTGTCTTAGGCGTCAAGTTTTGCGATTTTTGAGTTTTTTAAAGTTTGGTTTTTAATTTTGCTTGTGAGAATTTCGTTGAAACCGTTAAAGAAAGAGAAAGTAATTATGTCCAGTTTCTGCATGAATACGCTTCTTAAATTATGGCACTATGCATACCTGTAACGTCCAAACAGCGAAACGTTTTAATTCATAATTAAAAAAAAGTAACGCAAAAGTAAACTGCGTTACTTTTTATCGGCAACGGTAACGGCAAAGGTAACATTCCTTTTATTTTCAAGTAACTTAGGCCGGTAACGTGTTAATTTTATTTGCACGTAACGAGTAACGCATTTCGTTACTCTTTTTACGGTAACGCCTACAACATTGACTATACTTCGTTTCAACTTAGGTCCGAGCGCAGCCGATGCTATGAGCCGAAGGGCCAATCAAACAGCTTTAAATGCGCAACGTCATGGCGTGCTTCCCGCGCTTGATAGGTCTAGCCGGCGGAGGAGCACGCACAGAGAGACGGCGAATAACGCCTCGTCCTCTCAACTGCAGAGAGCACGCCACGATGTTGTGCCTCTTTGGCTGTTTGATTGGCCCTTCAGCTCATAACGTCGGCCGCGCTCGGACTTAAGCTGAAACGAAGTATAAAACCCTAACTCAATGGCTGACGTCACCGTTCATTTTGTTCTCGCGAGATATAAGTTCCTTCCTGATTGTTTCCACCAGGCGTGGCATTCAGTCGAGTAACCCGAGGGTCTCCACTTCGAGCGTCGCCGCTCTTGTTACGTCACGATTTTGCTTTCTATATAGCCGACTAGAGTGTTGGCGGATGCATAAAATGAACCCAGTTTATTGTTCGGTTTCCTCTAACAGTCTCTCGCGATTGCCCGCTGATCTCTGTGTGAAAAAAATGACGTTTCGTAAAAACTTGCGGTGTGTGTAGATGTTTATACAGCCTAGAACTTGGTGTGCTTCAACGGGCGACTAGTCTCAGCTGTAGATGACCAATTCAGCCAGTGCGGTACAACCGCTAGCCTGGGGTCTCTAACGTGCACCACGCAATAGCGATACACGACCGCTCGCCGGTACGATGCTCATCCAGATCGAAACGGGCAGGGGTTGGTTCTTTTCGCCGGCACTCCAAAGTCGCAGTGTCTCTGCTAATAATCATACAACAGACAGTCTGCTAACACCGTCTGCGGCACGTTTCACTAGAGAGTTTTAGAGAACCGTTTTAGAGAACCGAACTGCGCATGCGCTACGGCAAAAGATTCTCATATGCGCACTGCGTACCGGAGAGCCTATCGTACCATATATATCGGATGTGCAAAAACGGTTTCCTAAAACTTTGTACTCTTATATTACGGTCACATTGATCATGCAACAACTGTTTGTAGGCGTGTTCGAAGCACGCACATATATATGAAGCAAAGACGTTTCGGACATGCTCGAGACGCAGCCGCCTGCAATTCTGTACTTATATGTGCAGCGAGCATAGTGTCATTTGTGCGATGTGTGACCAGCTAGGGCTCCGGCTTTAATCCGTAATGTTCTCGCGCACACTGGCCAGGCGAGCCTGTCAATTGCCTCCACTCCCGAATGACACCGCCAAAGTTTGTCATTGTGAGTCACTTGTCGAGTTTTCGGAAGCCGCGACGGGATCGTGAAACAAAAGGAAAATTTATATTCCACTCGTGTACGTCGAGAGTTTATAATTATTTTATTACCCGCGTACAGATATAGACATTTGTTGCTGCGGGGTACCGCGATTGGTCTGACTAAGTAACGGTTGCACCACCCAGGCCGGCTGATTAAGATAGAAACGTCTGCAAAGAAGCCTACCCCTAGTCAAAAGAGTATTAATGTGTCCAATAAACACACGAAATTGTAAAGATAATATAAAAAGTTATATGCACCTTATACACATGGAATATAGAAATCATATAAAAAGTTTTATGCACCTTAAACACACCTGATACAATTTATATAGGTTCTGGTACGTTTATTAAAAAAATTATATATGCAACTTTGTTATTTTAACAAGGCATTGTTTAATAATAAAAAAACTTCGACACCTAATGTTTTAACTTACTACAGGGTTAAAAAACAAAACAAAAACGTTTTATCTCTCTAATTGGTCAGTCAGGATCGCCAAATGAGATATCACAAATGCGCACTCGCTTCGATCACAAAAAATGCGATTTCGCTCGTATGAAAAAGAAAAAGAAAGTATATTAGGGAAATTAATCGTTCTTGCCTACTCGAGGTCGGCAAACGTTGCAGTTCTGGACATACCTTCTGGCACACAGCCGCTACAAAGTTTTCTTTTTCAATGAAGCAATAGCGTACTTAATTGCTATCCACATTTGCCTGGCGAACTGCCGCCCTACGTATTTCCAAATGCAATGCAGGCGCAGTAGATATACCAGGTCACTTGGTAAAGATATTGTCTCCGATGATAAGAACCGAGTTCCACGCGGTCACCATTCATTATTTTGTGCACAATACGAAGCCATATAAGCCTAGCAGATGTACGCCTTTGACGTTGTGCTTTTCTCTTTTTGTTTAGCATGAAGTTTTCGAGTACGCGCAGTTGAATGATTCTGGTCATAGTTCCAACCGCTTTCTTTTCTTTTTATTTTTTGCTAGCAGAAATACTTTTTTTTTTTCGTGATCCAAGCGAGAACGCATTTTCGACACGTCCTTTGGCGATCGTACCTTGGCCAATTGGAAATGCAGTTCGGTTCCCTAAAAGTCTGTACTGAAGCCTTAGGCGGTCTTCAAATTACGAGAAAACTACTACAAGCGACTATCACGAACCTCCACAAAGCTTGCACACTTTGATGGTTAGATCGCCGTGGTGTCCTGAAAAGTAATAGATTATTGTGCCTTACTTCTGAGCGATGAAGTGAAGCGGGAAAAATGACAAAAAGTCAAGCGTAAATGGTATACGGCCATAGCTATGTTCATACTGGGCAAAATATAACCAATAAAACAGCTTCCTTCCGTGTATGATAAAATGTAGTAAACTGTCAGCGCAACATTTACTAAATGGTTACGCTTACAACCACATTGATTGCTTGAAAAATCTATTATGGACTGTAACATAACATCGCTCATATGATATCCTTCGCTACTTTTAAGACGCAAAAAAGAAAACACCACCCGCTTTTTGAAGTTAACTTGGAAGAGCGGCGAAGCACAGCAACATGTGTCTTTAGCAACACCTGCTCGCGCGTATGTCTCCAAAAAAATTTCTTGATGATTTTTTTTGTTTTGCACGATTGTTGTGGATTGAGACTGTTCTGCACTTGCGCGTATTCTAAGACAGATTGAAATGCCGCAGGTTGTAACACAACTAAATTCCGCTCCTTCTTTTTCTCAGATTGAATCGGGTGGCTTGGAGATGACGTAAACTCGAGAGCGGTCTTTCGGCCTTTCAAACGCGCTAACATCTGCTCAGATGAGTTCCTTCGCCGATGACGCTTCGCTTGTTTTGTGGCGTTATGAAGAGACGGTATGGTCGATTCGGCAAGTTTACCATCTTCGTGGGGCTCATTTTCGTGTGCCAAGGTCCGTTTCCGATCCGTTGTGTCTACGATGGTGATCCCAACATCAGGGGCCTTCAGTATAATCGTACACTCAACGACGGTGTTGAGGATGACTGGTTCAGCCAGCACCTCCGAAACAAGCTCGGCAAGGACTCTCTCTCCCATGAAAAGAAAAAGGAGAATACTAGTAACAAGAACAAAGCGAATCATCTAGATCCTAACTTCAACGTCGACAGACAGAAGAACAAGAGTGGTGGAGGCCACAAGGCAAGTGAGCCAGTCACGGCGGCAATAACGACAAAATCACCGAGGAAGGCACCAGGAGGAAGTACCGGTTTGACCACTACCAAAGCAACAAAGCCACCCAATTCCAAAAAGGACTACCCCAAAACAACCGTTAAGCCTAAAGGACCAGGCAACAAGGGAAATCGCAAGGTTACCGTCGACATCAAAATCAAGAAGGTCGAGTTGGTAGTCATATACGAATCTCTATGCCCGTATAGCAGACGCCTCGTCTACAGCCAGTTGCGGCCGACCTACACCCAGCTGGCATCATACATCAATTTAACCTTGTTACCGTTCGGCAAGGCCCACGTCAGGACCGAACGTGATGGTGCGGGCCGCAACATAACCAGGATCTCCTGCCAGCACGGCGAAAACGAGTGTGTGGGCAACAAGATCGAGACGTGCGTCCTGAGGGTGGTCAAGCAAACAGTGACTGCAGTTCAGATAGTCGCTTGCATGTCCGAAAACTCGTCTCCCCACAGAGCCGGCGAGAACTGTGCTAAGGCCTTCGGCGTCCAATGGAGCTTGATCGACACCTGCGTTAAGGAGCACGGCGAGGAGTACGAACTTCAAGTCGCCGCAACGACCTGGAAGTACAAGAGTGACGTGACGCGGGTGCCGCTCGTCGTGATGGATGGCGACCAGGGTAACTATGTCAACTATCATGCGCAGAACGACATGATAATCATAGTGTGTAATGAGATAAGAGCTCTTGGTAACAAGGAACCAAAGGTTTGCCACCATGAACGGCGTCGACGCCGACGGCGCAAACGTTAAACAGAACTGAAGCTGTGCTAGGTCGAAGAGAACATCAGTGTTGCGGTGTTTGCAAAAACAAGCGGCAGGCACTGCTAAACTTTGGAAATAGAAGGCTTGGCTCAACATCCCGTCGTTTTGCGCTTGATTTTTGATTATTTGTATTGAGTGATGCTTTGATCGTATTGGCTACCTTGTGTTAATGAGGTGAAGAGAGCTGGAAATTTAGTATTCCGTTTGAGATGTGTCAGCGATTAGAGCGGTTGCAGAGCGACCTCTCTGAAAGAGAGTTTGAATTATTCGTTCAGGGACGACTGCTGTGGGAAGAAATCGTTGGCGGCGTAACCACGAGAGTGTGCCACCATCTGTAGAGTTTAGTGCCAACGGTGGTTCAAGGAAAATGAATTTCAGAATGAGTAAATAATATATATATATATATATATATATATATATATATAGATGCAAGGTGACGGTAGAAAACAAACCAGGAGGATTTTATTCGACGTTTCGACCTGAGGCAGGTCTTCGTCAGATATATATATATATATATATATATATATTCCTTTCTTCATCGGCAGTTTTAAGACGTGTCACTAAGTACGTCTTCTGTTCTGCTCTTGTTCGTTGTAACGAAATGTGCGTGTAGCTTCCGTGACGTGTACAGGGGCGGGAGTGAAATCTGAAGGCCGCGGCAGCCGCGGTGGCAGACTGCAGCATATATGGATGGATGGATAAATGAATGAAAGAGCACGGCTGACTTGGAATCGGGTCTCAGTTTGCGCCATCTAGTCGGTGTCTTTAATTGTAACTGTTACGATAAGCATACATGCCAGGTGGGATCAAAGTTCATGAGTCTAGTTTCATAGGGTAAAAAAAGAGGGCAGCACGGTGATGCGTGCGCAGCTGTCGACGGCAGCGACCTTCATACGTCGTTATGCCAAAGGGCGTTGCTCTGGGAGAATTTGAAGCTGTACTACGCGAGTTTTTGTGACCGAATGTATCAACACATTGCCGATTTCAGTATGAGCTGCAAATTAGAGTGAAGAGGGTACATCAATCTTACGTTAAACATGGAAAGTATGAAACAGATAGCCTTTAAATAAATCGGGAGGCTTATGGTAAAAAAGCAATGAGTCATGCGAGCTGCTCGGAGTTGCCCTCGCGCTTCAAGAACGCATGAGAGAACATCACTGTAAGACGAAGAGACGTCAAGGCGACCTTCCACAAGCTCGCTTCCCAAAAATTTTTCCGGAATTTGGTAACTTGCGCACGAGGCTTGGGGGAGAACCATTTAAGACACTGTTAACATCGTCAATGTCTTTTTGCTCTTTTGTCAGATAGAGCTAAAGCCCAAGGGTCGCCGTTTTAAAATCGTGGACAAAATTGAGAGCGAATTGCAGAAGGTGCTCCTCACGCTGTATGGCGTGAGAATTATTTTAGGGGAGATAAAGTTTGATCATAAGTATATACTTTATTGTACCTAGGGCTAGTCTCAGAATTTTTTGATCGCCACCTCGTACATACACAAGATTAAGGTTTATTTTTCATGGTAATATCTAAAATATTTGATCCGACAATGGCTAGTGCTGTCAGACGACAAGCGGTGCTGTAACTACCGTCTGTGTTTTGTTTGCCACCTTCCAAAGCACTTTTGGGATGCTGGACATTCCTTGTAGGCTTTAGTTTGAGGTGCCCGTTTTGATCGAATTGAATAAATATGTTTAGAAACAGAAGCAAACCATCGTACGGTACATTTATGCCCTGGAAGTTTGGAATCGTCAATAAATAAACGTCTCCCTTCTTTGATAGCGCTAATGCGTTTGTCCGTGTTTGGGGAGAAATAAAAAAAAACAGCTTCGCGATCTTTCAATTTTTTTTTTTTTTTTTTCATTTTTTAGGGTTAGTGTTGGTTTTTTGGCGCACTGGCGTTGTATCACCTTGTGTTACAGGTTGAAACTTTGGGACACACTTTTCGATGAAACGTTCGAATCCTCCAGTTTGAACCTCAGCCGGTACACGAAAGTGGTGAAGTCTTCTGGAGCTGACCAAAATGCTTATCAGGGTGGCTCTTATGCTGTGCCGCCGAGCCGATTTTGTTTTTTAGTTGTCCAATTTATGCACAACTTCCGTTCTTTGAAAATGAGTGCGGTGGTGCGTGGTGACATTTATCCGATCCCATCAACACCAATCATCGGGCGGCATAAGGACCTCGCGAGTTAAATCCAAGGTGTTTTTTTTTTTTTAATTTTTATGGCTTATTTCAATTACTAAACTATCTTCTGAGGTTGCCGTCATGACGGACTTTGAAGATTACTGTAGAGGTATTGTCACTCTTCTGTTAATTTGTTTTTGCACCAACTGTTGTAGTATTGGTGCCAGGCGAGTCACGTTTGTGTTTGCTGGTCGACGACTAATAGGCCCGGGTTGCACGCTTAGTCATGTTGAGAGTGTGTCGCTAGCCTACTGTTTGGATTGCTAAAATGCTTGCGTACATCGTTAATTCAATTTGTATTAATAGAGCCATAATATTTTCACCAACACGAGCGTCGCCTCTGCTCCTACTAATTAGACGTGACTTGGCCCTAACACCTTTTCACTGGATCACCGTAGTTACTTTGTTTAAAGTAATTTTTTCGTCCTCTGGTAAATTTCTTAATTTCCATACTCCTTCGAGGCACACCTTTAGTAGCCTTGTTTTAAGGGCACTTATAAGAACGAACTCACTTAAAGTATTCGCGAATCCGCCCGCGATCTCAACTCTGCGCGTGCCCAGCATCGCAGGCGCTGGTTCGCCGACTTTTTAAAAGAGTTCATTCTGAAAGCCTTTAACGTTCCCCTGAAAAAAGGGTATAATGTATTATTTCCAAGAGAGTATTCGTTGAGGGCAAGGGAAAAGTTTGTCGCTGCGCGGTCTCTTGTTCGTTCAAACCAGTGCTTTATTCAAACACAGTTTAGTGTTTAGCCCTTCATGGCCAACATTTTGGGACATTTCGAGGAATAAAAAAAGTTTTTAGGGAAATAATAAAATTTTAGTTCATTTGCGTTTTATGGTACCCAAACGATTACTGTCCCGGGGAACATTACGATCTTCAATCAAGAAAAGCATATATTGATAATTTTGTGAATGTAACCTATAATATTCAATATAAAAAAATTGTAGAGCCGCGGAATAAAAACTCTATGTGTCCAATAATGACTCACCGATCAAGACAAACAGTGACCACCGATCAGGACAGCAATAAATGTGTGTGCATACCATCTGTCGTGATGACCACCGATCAAGAAAATAAATATGTTCGTACCTTTGTTCAAAACTCTGTGTCACGTCTGTGTCATGTGCTAAACAGCTTCGCTCATCATCCACATGCACAGAGTAAAATGGCTGACATTTTTTTTTTGTCAAACATCTTCCGATATTTACACATTTCTTTTTAACAATTATCACTGAAAAAGAACCCACAAATGTTGGGGACGAAATGTCGCTTAACTTAATGGTATGGGACTCCCTTTTGACACAGACGAACTCAATGTAGTCACTTTCCAGAAGGAGCATATAAACAGAATAGCGCCCGCTTTCCGATGTGCCCGTAACTGTTTTGCAGGAATCGCAGCCAGCCATTGGTCACGATCCCGTTGATCTTTCGAAAACTTGTGCAGACTCGGCCGCACAATGCCACTTTGGGATGCGGGACATGTGAGCCAGCTCTTCACGCCACATCTTGGGGGTATTCTTTTTGGAGCCGATCACGGGCATTCACCACGGGCACTCACAACTCATTTCCAACTCTTCAATGTACAAAACAACTTATCTTGAAGTGCAGAACAGCGAGCCGAACAGACATAACTGTGGAGCAATCGCTCGACAAACGGTACCCGCTTCGCTGTCTGCTTCGCGCGCGCAAAAAAAAAAAAAAAAAAAAGGAAAAACAAATATATATATGACGAGAAAAAAAAAAATACAAAAGCGCGGTCGGGTGTCACTACGTGACTTCGGGCACTCTCTCCTAATCTATGTTCCTCCGACCGCCGTGCGCAGGTTTCGGTTTCGGTTTCGAGCAGTTGCGTTTCTTGGCTTTATTAAAAATATACGTGACTCTGTAGCAAAATATTAATTTGGTAGTCTTCTGACACCCTATAAAATCGCCTGTCAAATATATCTATCTATCTTTTTTTGAGGGGGGGGGGGGGGTGGGGGGGTGGTCGTGGTGCCAGTGTTTGTTTAAGATACGTTCAAGCCAGATTGTTCCGACGACATGACTACCAGTCGAGTAACCCAGGGTGCGCTCTTTGGCCGTCGCCTCTTTTTTGTCGTCATGATTTTGCTTTCTATCAAGACGACTGGAGTGTATTCGGATGTATAAACCGAACGATGTTCATTGCTTGTTTTCCCCGAAGGTTTCGCGAGTGCCTGCTGACCTCTGCGAAAATAATGGCGCTTTATAGTCAGGTCGGTATATGTTCCTTAGGCCGAATATGACTCGAATAGACTCTTTGCACACGCATTATATTACAGGCGCCATTGCTGACCTTCTCTCGTCTTACCCAGATGCCGAGACAGTGAAGCTGGCGTTCACGAGCTTCCACAAAAGATCAGTGCTGGGGATAAGGACACGCTAGAATCAAAAATGCCAATAACCTGCCGTGCTTTGGTCACGATAAAGTGAAGTAAACGTAATAAGCGGAAACAAAAATTGAGGGTCGATTATGGCGACGCCCACGCGCAGCTGCCGCAAAGTGTCTATAAAAAAGGGTGGCGGATTTTTGCGGTTCATAACGGTTTCTGCCTTCTTCGCGATTTTTAGCATGTGATGTGGAATTAAATTCTGTGACTCATTCATTGACACTCTAGAGCCTCGGTCACACTACTTATGCGTCATACTAAAGACTGTCTGTCTGCAGACACCGTCTGAGGCACTTCCTTGTATAAGGGTCGTGGAACACTGGCCATACAAAACAACTGTCCGCGGACATATGTTCGAAGCATACATAGATGTATACGAAGGCTTGTCCGTAGGTAATTC